GTTGTTGACATAAACGGAACATTTGCTTACTATCTAACTAGAAATAGAAGAAAAATTCCTTTTAACCTTGTGTAAATGTTGATTTGAACCAGAAAGTATGTTATTTTTCTACTTTGATTAGGGATCAACAAGAAAACTCCACTTAGAGTAGGAAGCAAAGAGGCAAAAAATAGTTAAAACTTTATAGCAAATATCTCAATTTTTTCTTTACACCCTAGAAATATATACCCATGCAGACCTACAAAACCAAAAAGTATATTTATTTTCATTAACTGCCACTATTAACTGTTCATGGATTGGAAGACTTTATATTGTCAAGATGGTTATGCTCTCCAAAGTGATCTATAGATTCAATGTGATCCCTATCAAAAACCCAGCTGGCTTTTTTGCAGAAATTGACAAGAGGATTTTAAAATTAATATGGAAATGTAAGAGATCCAGAATAGCCAAAACAATCTTGAAAAAGAACAAATTTGGAGGACTCACATATCCTGATTTTAGAACTTAGTACAAAGCTACAATAATCAAGACTGTGTAGTACTGGTATAAGGGTAGACATATAGATCAATAAAATAGAGTTGAGACTCCAGAAATAAACCCTTACATTTTTGGTTAATTAGTTTTATTATAAGGGTATCAAGACAATTTAATGGGGGAAGGAGTAGTCTTTCTAAGAAATGATGCTTGCAACTAGATACCTACATGCAAAGAATGGACCTGGACCCCTACCTCACACCATATTCAGAAATAAACTAAAAATGATAATAGGTCTAAATGTAAGAGCAAATACTATTAGAAGAAAACATAGGAGTAAATCTTTGTGCCCTTGCATTAGTCAGTGTTTCTTAGATACAACACCAAAAACACAAGCAACAAAAGAAAAAATAAATAAATTGGACTTAATTATAATTAGAAACTTCTGCATTTTAAAGAACACCCCAAGACAATCCACAGAATGGGAGAATATATTTGCAAATCACATGTCTGGTTAAAAATGTGTATACAACAATCACAACAATTCCTTGAACTTGTTAAGACAAGTGAACAGATATGATGTAGTTGAGGGAGAGGGGAGAGAGGGAAAGGGGAAAGAGGAACTGGTAAAGGGACATGAAAATCTACTACAATGTATATTGAGAAGTTAAAATTTAAAAAAATCGTGTAAAGAATATCTAACGGACTCTCACAGGTCAATAGTTAAAAGGCAAATAATTAGACATTTTTTAAAGAAGATATACAAAGCACCAACAGTCACATGAAAAGAAGCTTAACATTATTACACAAATGCAGTTCAAAACCACAATAGGATACCACTTTACACCCAGTAGAATGGCTAAGATTAAAATTAAAATTAAAAAAGAAAAATAAGTGTTGGCAAGGATATGGAGAAATTGGAACTCTCATACAGGTATATTGCTGATAGAAGTGTTGTTATTCAGACACTTTGGAAATAATGTAGGAATTTCTCAAAATATTAAACATAGAGTTACTGTATGACCAACAATTCCACTACTTGGTGTACAACCAAGAGAACTGAAAACATATATTTACACAAGAACTTGTATACAAGTGTTCGTAGCAACATTATTCACAATAGCCAAAGCAGAAACAACCCAAATTCTCACCTGCTGATAAATAGGTAAACCAAATGTGGAATAGTCATAAAATGGAGTATTTTTGGTCATAATATGAAATGAAATACTGATATATGCTACAACCTGGATGAGCTTTGAAGACATTATTCTAAGTGAAAGAAGCCACTCTATTTATATGAAATGTTTAAAAGAGGCAAATCCTTAGAGACAAAAAGTAGATTAGTGATTGGCAGGATCTATCAGGAAAGGGAAAATGAGGAGTGAACTGCTAATGGGTATAAGGTGTCTTTTGGGATGATTCAAATGTCCCAACAATAGATCGTGGTGATGGTTGCAAAACTCTACGAATATACTGAAAGCCACTGAATTGTACCATTTAAAAGGGTGATTCTTATGTTTTGTGACTTATATCTCAATAAAACTATTGTAAGGAAAAAAATCGCTCTTAAAGCCCCAATCAAGGCTTCAGTGATTGTAGATACAGCCTCACAGACATCTTACAGTAACCTCATGAAAGATCCCACCCCAGAACTGCCCAGCCAAGTCACTTCTAAATTTCTGACTCACAGAAACTATGAGAGAAAAATACTTATTTTTTAATCCATTAAGTTTTGGGTAAGTTATTGTACAGCATTAGAAACTAATGCAATGAACTCTGTGTGTAATGTGCTTGAAAAATAAAGAACTTGACACAACTTCTCTTCTGTGTAAGAGATAAGAAAGTTAATATCCTGGCATAAATTAGGTCATCAGAAATCCTGACATATGATAGTCACAGGTTCAAATATTTTGTTAAGTTTATCTACCTAAGTATTTTTGTAATCTGCCCAACTCTGTCTCCTTTTCTCTGTAAGCACAAGTCAAACTCTTCATAATAATGTGAATGTTTGAAAGCTTTCAAAGACATTCATCTTTTGCAATTTGGTATCTTAAACTATGAAGTGTTCTTTAATCTTATGTGTTTTTCTCCTTTCTTTTTCTTTTTCTTTCTTTTTTTTTTTTTTTTTTTTTTTTTTTTTTTTTTTTTTCCTGTCCC